CCCAAAAATATACTTTGCGTCTACGGCAGCCCATTTCCGGTAAGGCGGCATTGAGTTTGCATTTGTTACAAAGGAAGCAGTTGCCGACCTATACATCTCGTATCTCATCGCAAGTGGTGTGATCAGAGACTCTGTGTGTAGGAATGTTACACAGGTACAAACGTGTTCCATTATTTTCCATTTCCTAGACATACGGGGAGAATGATGACTGACGCCACTGGAATGCAAAAGTATACATGGACATACCGATTGCGAGTTCATCCTTTCAGATATTTCAATCTCTAACATCGTCTTCCTAGCACTTGTCAAGTGGTTCAATGCAATTAAAGGTGTTACGAATTTCATTCTACTTGACAATGCAGCAGACTCGATCCTCTGTGGAAGTAAATAGTCTCAGCACATAAATACAAGTCTCTCACACCCGTGTTTGCAGAAAGGGTCGATGAATGGTCAATATGAAATACGAAAAGTGCATAAAATACGAAAATTAATAGAAAATTTGACCTGATATAAAATATCAAAATTGCTTAATACTGATTATGATAAGGTAAATACAAAATGGAAGGCAATAACATTTACAAACAAGAAAATACACAATAAAACGTACAAACTTCTTAAATTCTCCCAGCAATTGTTATCATAGCAAAATTGAATTTCAAGTACACAATAATTTCAACAATTTATGCCTTTTAAAAATCAAATGTTTAAAGACATTCATTATTTAATGCGAATTTGTGTTTTAATGTTTGTCTTATCTTGCTTACATTTAATACTAGCTACAAAAGTACTTCTTTTAAATTCGGAAAATCAAATGAAGCTGTCATTAACATTTTGGAGCCGACATATTCGGATAATACCTTGGCAATTTAATTGAGTTGGTATTGTGGTCCTTCACCTTGAAACAGGTTCCAAATGTTGACAAGTTCCTGTAAGTCTTTCACCTACTTACGACGGGCGTTTTGACTTATTATTCAATGTTTCTGTTTCTATAATCATTAACAGTAAGAGAAAGCGTGCACTAGTCCGAGTACGCAACAACGTACAATTTTGTTTACACGCGTATTAGCTTTATAAACGAGTATCTATACTCTTTTTGCGGTTTTTGTGCAGACGCTCAGTGTAGATGTCATATGAATCGGTTCATTCGCTTATCTATGAGAAGATATGATTTTTTTATCATTGAAAGAAGACATTGTTCTTAATACTTCATTTTAAGTATACTGTAGTATACTGTAGCCAAAATATTATACTTAAATTTCATGTGATTTGAACTGAAACCAAATGGTTTAGAGTTGCAACGTTTATTTACATAAAGAGACCAAAAAACAGCGCTGTCATGAATATCTATAAACAGTTCGGAAAGTATCCTAAAGAAACATTGAAAAAAGAAACCCCATACACGAATCTAGTGAGTCAAGCAAAGTTGTTTTTTATGAGTGGCAAAGACGATTTCAAACAAGGTGGGTCAATCTTGAAAATGATAAAGGTCGTAAGCGGGAAAAATAATGCTCGTCGGCACTGAGCGGATTAAAAATACATTTATGTTACCGTGTGCAGCCTGACGGAAATTTTCAAAGGAATTTTTTCTTTTAATTTTAAGAGAAGAATGGCAGGCATCTTAAATAAGTTTCAACTTTATATTATATTCATGAACATTTGAACAAGCAAAGTTTTAAGAAATTCTATAATGTATCTTTCATTTTGTTTTAAATGTATGTTTACATGTACCCATGTAATCCTACTTATAATGAAATTCACATGTACTATATAATACATAATTTCATTTGAGACATGATGGAAAGTAAATCAGAAATCTAGATTATATATACTAACTATTATGAACAATACTCTTTGGATATCATTTGTTATGTAGCACTCACTTGATATCATTTCACAAATATTGCTAATTAAGGGTTGAATACCTCTTCAAAGTATTTCTTAAATATAACATACACCGTAATTCACTAGATTCATGTTTTAATATTTCAATTATTTTCAATCGAATAACATTTTGAACTTGTGTTCTTAATCTTTAAGTTTCTATTAGATTAGGTATATAATTAACATAACATTTGATATCATTTCACAAATATTGCTAATTAAGGGTTGAATCCCTCTTCAAAGTATTTCTTAAATATAACATACACCGTAATTCACTATATTCATGTTTTAATATTTCAATTACTTTCAATCGAATAACATTTTGAACTTGTGTCCTTAATCTTTTAGTTTCTATTAGATTAGATATATAATTAACATAACTTAGGTCATGCAGCAAATTATATAATTATGTTGTTTACATTTATTTTTCTGTCCACCATAGTTCTTCTCTAAAACACATTTTCCTGCAATAAAGTAGCCGTGGATTTGTGTTTCAAATCATATTGAATACTGAACACAAAAACGCTTCAAGAGAGGCGGTAAATTGCTTAAATAACCTCTCAGTTTTCCTAAATGCAATATTTATTCTGACACATCTATTCAGCAGAATATCATTTATGACACTTTTTTTTTTGTAAATGTCATACATAATTTAAATGATGTTCCAGTCCTCTGGAGCACCTTCTACATAAGGAAGAACATCGTTAACTTGTCCTTCATATTCTGACAAAAAATTGTTAGATTTGAGCACTTAATTACAAATTCATTAATAATTTTACTTTGGTAAACATAACAATGACGCATTACATATTGTCCGGCAATATTGCCCTTAGACTGATTCATTTTCGGAAGGTTGTTGGTTAGTTTTTGTAATGAGTAACGAATTACTTATTGACTTTAAATGATAGATTTTTTAAATCCATAAAAGTTTACGGTCCGATGGTCTAGTGGTTAGTACAAAGGAATTGTATTCGCGTAGTTCGAATCTTCCACAAACCATTAATAAAATTTCTTAAACAAATTGTTTTATTTTTTCTTTTTTAATTATTTGCAGCATGAGTGAATACATCTTTGTTTAATTTATGGCATCTAAACTTTAAACGTGCGTAGCCATGATAAATATATATAAATATACTTTAATATGTAAAGTCGTATAATGAGTGATTCGTGTGCACGAAGTGTAATGGTCACGTTTCACAAAATATGATAAAAAAATAATAACAAGAAAATATGTAAAATCTTTCATGAAGATGAACATAACACTTTGTCGTTGAGTATTACGCCTTAGTTTTAAGCTACACATATACCGTTGCGCAATCCTTTGGTTGGTTGTTTTTTTGTACTTTCGGTTTCTACATTCATAATAATAAATATAGAAATAATGTAATTTTTTTTCTTTTGTATCTATGAATTCACTTATTTTAGGTATACTTTTACCACATATATTGGAAATAAACTTGTCAACAACTCCCAGCATTAATTATTACTATTTGTTTACATGTTTAGTTTCTTAGCGTAGGTTAGACCGAAATACCGCATCCGTTCTGAGTATTCATACTATTGTGTTCGAGGTTCTGATCCGAAGACTGACGGAAAGGGCCGAAAAGTTGCGATTGTGTAATTGGGCGTAACGTTAAACATGGTCGCTACATTTTGGTATTTAAAACTTCCTGTTTCGATTTTGTAACACGATTTTTATAAGCAGTAGTCACGTGAGTCGGCGATCAGTTGGGTGTATCGTTATTCTGTACAAAGTCGCCATTTACAGCGGTAAGAAGGATTAGAATTTGTTTATTGGACTATTATATGCATAGTTAGTGAGTAAGATTTACTATTATTATGATAGTAATTAGCGAAGGTTTTTGTCGCTTGGCAAGGTCAAAAATTAAAATATCAACCCCTTCTATAGCTAAAACAAAATATATAATTATGGTAAATCATGATAAAAATATCAACGACCGAATTAAAAACATTAGTATGATTCATAATAATCTCATATACAATGTATATACATCAGTTGGATTTTTAGGTTTATTATTACTACAGGTTTTAGGTCCCGCTTTCGTTTTTTATTAGCTCACCTGAGCTAGCTCAGGGTGAGCTTTTTGGATCGTTGAATGTCCGTCGTCCGTCGTCTGTCGTCCGTCGTCCGTACAAACTTCTTCGTTAACACTCTAGCGGTCACATTTTTGCCTCAATCATCATCAAACTTTGTCATGATGCTTATCTAGGTAATAGCTCGGATGAATTCGAACACGGGTCAATTCGAATGAAAAAAAAGGTCACAGGAGCTAAAAATAGAAAAACCTTGTTAACAGTCTAGTGGTCACATTTTTTAATTCAATCATCATCAAACTTGGTCAGGATGTTTGTCTATGTAATTGCTCGGATGAGCTCGAACATAGGTCATCTCAATTATCTTCAGATTCGAACTTGCCATAGAAATCATCAAAACAAACTTTCAGACCAATTTACAGGATATTTGGATCAAAACGGTTGCCACTAGTGATTTTTCTATTTTTAGCTCCTGTGACCTAGTTTTTCATTCGAGATGAACCATGTTCAAATTCATTCGAGCAATTACTTAGACAAGCATCCTGACCAAGTTTGATGACAATTGAGTCAAAAATGTGACCACAAGACTGTTAAGAAGGTTTTTCTATTTTTAGCTCTTGTGACCTAGTTGTTCATCCGAGATTACTCATGTTCGAACTTATTCGAGCAATTACAAAGACAAGCATCCTGATTAAGTTTGATGACAATTGAGTCAAAAATGTGACCACTAGAGTGTTAACAAGGTTTTTCTATTTTAAGCATCCTGACAAAGTTTGATGATGATTAAGGCAAAAATGTGACCGCTAGAGTGTTAACAAGGCTTTTCTTTTTTTAACTCCTGTGACCTAGTTTTTCATTCGAGATGACCCATATTCGAACTCATTCGAGCAATTACTTAGACAAGCATCCTGACCAAGTTTGATGACAATCGAGTCAAAATGTGACCACAAAGGTGTTAAGAAGGTTTTTCTATTTTTAGCTCCTGTGACCTAGTTTTTCATCCGAGATTACCCATGTTCGAAATTAACCGTGCAATTATATAGACAAGCATCCTGATTAAGTTGATAACAATTGAGTCAAAAATGTGACCACTAAAGTGTTAACAAGGTTTTTCTATTTTTAGCTCCCTCCTGTGACCTTGTTTTTCATTCGAGATGATCCATGTTCGAACTCATCTGAGCTATCAACGAGATAACCGTCCTGACCACGTTTGATGATGATTGACTCCAAAATGTGCTCGCTAGAGTGTTAACAAGGTTTTTCTATTTTTTAGCTCCTGTGACCTAGTTTTTCATTCGAGATGACCAATGTTCGAACGCATTCGAGCTATCAACTAGATAAGAATCCTGACAAAGTTTAATGATGATTAAGGCAAACATGTGACCGCAAGAGTGTTAACAAGGCTTTTCTTTACTTAGCTCCTGTGACCTAGTTTTTCATCCGAGATGACCCATGTTCAAACTCGTCCAAGCTATCAACTAGATAAGCATTCTGACAATGTTTGATGGTGATTGAGGCAAAAATGCGACCGCTATAGTGTTAACGAACAAGTGTGGACGGACAACGGAATACAGACGACGGACGACGGACATTCAACAATCCTAAAAACTCACCCTGTGCTAGCTCAGGTGAGCTAAAAAACTATAAAATAAATAAACGATTCAATTAACATGTGATTAAAGTGTTTGATAATTTACTTTAAAACCTTTGCCCCCTACAGCTTTAAGTTCGACATTATCAAAATCATCCGAGTTCAGGTTCCAAACCTTAAACTGAAAACTTGAAGGAAGTAATTGCAAAACTGTCAGCATAATGATATGGTTTTACCTGTTCATTATTTTGTTACAACGAGTTAATGTTTTCCTTACAGCGATACACGAGTTGTAGTGTAAATATCATGTTTCAATTTACAGTTATTTTTAAATGTGTTGCTACCCAAAATTTCTAAACCTGTATTAAAATGTGTACTCGTAAAGTTCAAATAGTTAAGGTTACAAATATTTTATGATCACGCCTGTTTATAGAGACAAAATTTGGGGGCTCGTCAAGTATATTTGTTTAACCTTGAAATGTTTTCTGGCAAAATATTGTTTGCAAAACTTTGATAGATTATTTTCGAATAGTTGGAAGAATATTGTAAAATTGCTGTTGGACGTAACGTTGTGTATTTGATACACTTATGTTGTAGTATTGTTTGATTTTATTAACCTGTCAATTCCATACTGATTATACGGTCAATGCACAGAATATATTAATATTCGCTAAATGTTCGGTAAATTCCGTGAGATTTTAGCAGTAAGATATGATTAAATTCATCTGGTTTCTATGCATAAGTTACACTGACCGTTATAGCGCAATAGGATAAACTACGGGTATATAATTTCTCAATGCCCTACGTGTTGTAAGATCGAGACAGCGTATGTCCAGGCATTTTTTTCTTAATCATAACTATTTTCAAAATTTTTGAAGTTAATGTTTTTTTTTCTGTTTTAATAGGTGTTTGCACTTTTTTGTTAACACTATAATTTATTATATAACATTGTTAAAGAATTAATAATATTCAAAATTCATTTGGGTTAAGATCAATAAATGTCATTTCAGTGCCGTAAAATACAATACAAAACGTGACAATTCAGTGTTTCTTAGTTGTTTCATATCTGTGTAGAAAATTCTGAAAGCGCTTGATCATTTTCATTATAATATACTTAAAAATAAAGTAAAAATAACTCTAAAATTAAGTGACGTCTAAAAAAATTGTCAAGAAGAAGGGATCGAACCTCGGACTTCTCATACATTAGGCAATCACTTAACCGACTTTGCTATTGCGGATGTTACGAGAACCTACATTAAGCTAGTGGGAGTTTTCCAAACATTAGTTATATACTCCATATTAATTCTCGTAAAATAAACGGACAAAACCGAAGTGGGATCGAATATTTAAATGAGTGCTATAATGTATTCATAATTGACAGGTCAATAAAATCAGACTATAATAACAGTTAAACTTTCTACAGAAAGTTAAGTTTAGTGTAGCGAAACGGTGACGTGCAGCGTGTAAACTTTGTTAACAGAAGAATCAATCAAATGTAGCGGCAGGGCATCGGAAGGTAGTTTAAAAGGAGAGATTTACGACTAGGTTATCAATACCTGTTATGTGTATCACGTGATACACATTATCAGAAAAGTCGTACAAACATAATAGAATGTACATTATAAACTCTTACAAAATGATACTCCTAATGCTAAGTTTTGATCTAACAAATATCACAGAGCTTTCTCATTTTGACCATAAGATGTGTCTAAAATATAGATGTTAGAATTTATTTTTAATTAAAAAGGAACTTTTGGAAAAGTGAGCTTTTTATACATTTGTAGCCGTTTACCAAAATAAAAAAAATATCTTTTGGTGTCATTTATCAGTTATGTTTAGAAAATGTTTTTTATTAAAGTTGAATTAATTTTAAGATATGCGTCAGTTAAAAAGAAAGAAAATGAACTTTAATTAAAAAAATCATTTGAGTAAATAATTGCAATTCTAATATGCCATTTGAAATTAATAAATCTTCTGTATCAAAAAATTCAAATCCAGAAATTGTCTATAAGGACTAACTTCTGAATCAAAACCTTAATTAATTTAAATCCAAGTATAACAATAAAAAATTAAATCGAAGAAGATAATTAATCCTCTGAATAAAAAATAAAGTAGAGTTAGGTTATCAACTCTCTAAATAAAAAATAAAAGAATGAATTATTAAACTTTCTAAACAAACGATTTAATACTAAAGTATTTTGGACATATACATGTGATTCAATTTCATCAAAATTTAAAGTTAATTTAAAAGTTAAAATTTTCTTCTGGGTCCAATTATTGATTATCAAGTCATAATATCTTTTTAAAATTTGAATTAAAGCATGATAATCTTCTGGATCAAAATTTCTTAATCAAAGTATAAATAATTCTTTCTCATCAAACATGTGATTTTAAATCCAAGAAATCTAAAATATCCTTTGTAAAAAAGTAAATTTTAACAAACGTTTTAACAAATATCCTCTGAATCAGAATGTTTCATATTGGTACAAAAGGGAATAATTATAAAAGTCAACTCAATTAGAATTGAATTTCTGACTTAATGATTTTATAAATAAGTATTAATGATCAAAATCAAATGCTTTGAAATAATTAAAGGTGAAACAGGTTTCAAAGTTATATTCAATAATCAATGACATATGACGGACATTCGTCTACAAAAAAGGATATTTTTGCTGGGAAAAAATCCTGTACAAGAATAATAAGGCAATTATTATTAGGTATTGTGAGTTTAAGTACTATCTTTTATGGCCAAAATAATTCTTAATGATAACCAAATCGAAATGTATATGAGTTCTTTTATTGACAGTTTGAAATACTCTTTTAAGTCACAAATAATGATATCTTAATAATGGGCATACCCTTCCTAAAGCATTTATGTTTTAACTTTGTATCTGGAATTAAAATTTCATGCATTAACACTGTAAAATTAATTTAAACTGATAAATTTTCATTGACTCCACACTCAAAGTAATTTAAACTATGACTGGTAACAGGTCAGACAAAAAGTTTGTACGACCAGCAACTGTTGCTATGTGTATTTCTTATCAGTGAATCTACTTTTTAGAAAAATCCTTGTCTGTAGATCCCTCCTATATTGCTTATACAGTTAAAGTTTAAGCAGTTTTTGTGGAGACATAGTTGATATAATAGGTTGAGTCAATGTGATAAAAG